TACAGAGCCTTTTCATCTGCATTGATTTTAATCCTTTACGGTTAAATATCTTCAGGTTGGGTTTTTTTTCAGTTTAGAGTGAAGTACAGTCAGAAGACTGTGTGTGTAATTGGTGGCAAGTACAATCAGGCTAAACGTAGCAGGAAGACAAAAGATATGAGCAGCTTAGTATTGAGAATTCAGTGCTCCAGTTGTCTTGGGGAAAATAATCAGTTTGCTCTGACTAAGGACAAAATCTTAATGCATTATTATTACTATACATCAGTAGCTGAGCTGTAGACATTGAAATATTGCATTAATATTTGCTGTGCTTGGATTAGCTGAATTGGCAGCCTATTTAAGTAGGGACTTGGGCTTTCATATTATTTACTTAATTATATTTGTAATTTACTGTGGCTCAGTACTCAGCATGATTTTTAATTGTCTGAGGGAGACTGTTAATTTTACAAATGAGGTGGAATAAGTGAGTGTAATATTGCTGCCGTGGCTTTAAAGGAAGAAGGTTGAGTTTTGTGCTCATTTTTAAGCTTTATGGTATTCCCGTTACTACCACACTGGTATAGTGCTAATTAAATTTTCAGAAGTTCATTCATCAGTAGTTACTATGTGGTCCTTGTTTCTGTGATTATTGTTGTTTTGCTATAATTTAGGTAGCACATATCTGAAGCTTCTGTCCAGTAACTAAAAAGTGAAAAATTGTTGATACTAGTGGCTTGATATGCACTAAATTATGTTCTGAAAGAGGACTCTTCTGAACATCTGAGGATATCTGTATATAGAGCCCATCTAATTATGTGTTTGTAATGTAACAGCTTTGGGCTGTTGTAGTTGTTTGGTGTCCTGATTTTCCTTACAGAAAGATGGATAGTCATCCACTTTCATTGTGAATTACTTTTAATTAATAAAAATAACAAATGTGGTAAAAACAAAAAGAAAAAAAAAACAAGTAAAAAATCCATCTCCTTTACAGTGTGTCCTTGTTAATTCAAAATGGCACATGACAGCAGCTTCCTGGGAATGTAAAGATGCATCATGCAGAAAAAAAGCAGCTTACTGCATAATAGAATAGTTGAAGACCTACCCTTCATTTTTTTCGCTGAAGTCTAGTTTAATGATAATGGTAGTACTGTGAATTGATATTTTGCACAAAAGTGGTACAGCAGTGGTGAAAGTCTACTTCTCAGAATTATAGAATAATTTAGGTCAGAAGGAACCACTGGGAGTCATCTAGTTTAAGCCCCAGCTCAAGCAGGGCCAGTGTCAAAATTAGATCAAGCTACAGAGTGTCTTGTTCAACTGTGTGTTCAATGCCTCCCAGAATGGATATGTCACAGCCTCCCTGGGCACCTTCTCCAGGTGCTTTCCTCCTTTTCTTCTCCAGATGTCTTTCTGACCAAAATCTAGATGGAATGACATAGGGGCAGTTAAGTTAGTACTTGTCACCTAAAAACTGATTTTAGATAATCTGTTTTCTGTAAATGGTATGGTGTACAGGAGCTAGGCAGATGTGATAGAAATTTGGGTCACTCTTGTGTGCTGAAATTGAAGGTTGTAAATCTGACTCCTGCTATGGTGGTGACTCTAGATTCTGAAGCAGTTCTAGGATTCACTGAGCAAAAGTCGATTCATAATGTCTCATTGTTTCATGAAAAAATGTCAATTTGAAACCAGTCAAAAGTGATCAGATAGATACCCTGCTGTTTGAACTTCTGGACTTCAGTTAAACATTGTTCAAAAGGATGTAAACATTTCGACCTAAAAATGCAATTTTTAGGGAATATTTGATTCCTGCCCACCATCTATTCAATTAGGCTTCTTTTTTCCTGTATGCCACGTAGGGAGGTTGGTTTGGACACCTTGTTAGTTATACCATAGAAAGAACACAAAAATGACCGTAATGTCAAAGTCAAAGGTCCATCTGGCCCATATACTGTTTCTAACCATGTATCAGAGGCCAAAATAAAGATACAAGAGCATGACAAATATACCATGATGGTATGCTCTTCGCCTCCAGCCATCTATAGCTTAGATTGTTTCTGAGTTGGATGTTTCTGTACATTTATAGTTAGTTTATTTCAGGGGATTTAATTTTCACACGTTTGTCCAGACTTCTCTTGAACTCAGGATTCAACATCCACAACATCCTGCGGGACGTAGTTCCGCACCTTGCCTACACACTGCAGGAAGTGTGTGTGTTTGTTTTGTTTTCTTCTCTCCTATGAATGTGGTTCTTAACAGCTTCATTTGATGCCTTCTAGTTCTTGCACTGGAAGAGGCAATGAACAATATCCTCTCCATGCTACTCACGGTTTTATTGACTTCCATGTTTCATTTATCTCTTTTCTAGACTGAAGAGACCAGGTTACTCATTTGTCCCTTGAACAGGAATCATTCTGTACCTTCCATCATCATCTTGCTCATCTGTGAACCTTCTCTGGTTGTACCTCTCACTTAGAAAAAAAGTTTGGGAAGGTGAACAAAGAAGGCTAGCAAGCATGGGTATTTACAAATAGAAAGAATCAATAGCAAAGGGATGAAGAATTAAACAAATTTTAAAACTATTAGAACAATATTGATTCAGTTTGGGCTATTGACTCGTATAATACTTCCTGTAGTACAGAGCTTGAAGCACACAAATCTGTGACCATCTCTGAAAACTGTATCATGTATGTTTCAAATGCATTTATATTTGCAGGAACTTCCTTTTACTCATTTTAGGCAGTGGCTTGCCATGTGATCACACCTGCGTGATGCAGGTGATACCTTTTCATTTCCTGACCTCAGTCTCTCTCTTTGTCATTACTAAACATATTTGCCACGTTAAACATTCATTCATCTGGAAGAGCAGTATCAGCTAAGAGGTTAAACCCCACATCAGAAGCGTTCTCAAGCATATGACTGTCCTCAAACATGTGAGTTTCAATGGCTTCACAGAAGTCCTTAAAAGCAAAGGCTGTGCATAAACACATGCCTGACTTGATCCTGTAGAGATTTAACTTTGAAAGCTCCCCGAGGGGATCTTAGATGGAAAAATCAATCCCGTATACTTGCTACAATTAAATATACTCTGTCAATTTTATACTCTCAGGGAAAACTCAAAATAATTATGATGTAGTCAGTATCACAGTCAAATTATAGTCCTCACCTAAAAGGGATTCTGTCTGCTGGAAATTAGTAAATTTCCAAAACGATTTAGAAATAGCTTCTGGTTCTGTACCTCTCCCCCGATCCCCCTGCCGATCATTCTGTTTTCACCTTTACCTCTTCCTGCTTTAAACATGTTTTTCTCCCCCTTTTGACATAAAAACCTGCGTAACCAAAAAATAAAAATCATCAAATTCATCAAAAATCATCAAGAAGGCATCAAACGTATGTAGTTCCTGACCGTACAGTAAGAACTGGAAAGTTGGTTTTAGACTTTTTTAAGTACCCTGAAGCTGGTTGTATACCTCAAGGAAGAGGCATGTCCTCAAAGCCAACTACGCACAAAGTGCTGCCATTGGAAAATTAGTGGAATGTGTTTCTATACTGGCGTTAATTCCAGAGATTCTGAACTGGTGTCAGAACGTGGTTCATTTTGGAAATGGATTTTATGGTAAAAGACAATAACGAAGTGCAGACTGCAGTCTACATCAGTTTGACTTCTTTTGGAGCTAAAGTATTCCCAGAAGTAAACTTATCTTGTGTGCAGAGGCTCTTGCTGTCCTCTTTGTAGCTATTTGGAAGAACTTCAATCCAATGCTTGTTACTTTTCGAGGATATGCTTTCCATTTCCAAAGGAGTTCATTTAAGGAAGTTCTCTGACCTATGTGAAATGGAAGATCAGATCGTTTTCCTCTCCTCTGGCCCTATAATCATGAGTTTGTAATATTGCTAGGTTATTTTTCCTCTGAAATGTTTTACTTGTTATTCTGGCAACTACAGTCTATTAGTCAACTCTGGGTCTGTGGAAAGGTATTTCTTTGAGTGAGCATCAAGAGGCTTTTGTACTGATTGTACCTTCGTACAATCTGAGGCTAGTATCAAAGCCACGGTCAACAATGTTTTTTTCCTCTCCTCTAACTTGCTTTTCAGTACAAATAAAAATGTGATTGATGCTGTAAACTGCATTTACAAGAAAAAAGTTTGTGCTTATTCTGCTTTGTGCTTATGAATTGTTTACATAAAAAACAATAAAATAAGATAAAACTTTAAGTGATGAGTAACAAAACTTAAAATAGTGAGGTGACTCAGAACTCAAATATAGAGCACAGAGGAAAGACATTTATTTTTGTAAGTCTCAATAAGTAGTACTGGAGAACTAAGGAGGGATAAACATAGGTACGACTTTAACAAATTGGAAAAAGAGGAAATTTCCTTATCAGAGAAAGAAAATGGCTTGGAAATAAGTATTTTTAGTTTATATCACATTTAAAATTTGTATATATAAATGTGCATTGATTTGCCATTGCAATTTTTTCAGCAACCCATGAGATGCTGGTGAGGAAGTGCCATGTATACGGCTACGTTAGGCAGGTTTGTTGGTCAAGTTCCCTCACCATTGCTCTGCTGCTTTTCCAGACAGTGGTGATAAGACTCCATGGGGCTTATGTAGTGCAAGAAAAGTGGGTAGTGGGATGAGACTAGGGGAGAGGAGAGCTTACAGACAGAGTCAGTAGTTTACTGGGGCAAACACACGTGTAACATGCCTTGTACTGATTTTGTAAAAGAGCTGGAAAACTTTGTTCTTATGTTGTGCAGGGAGAGTAAATCATTTTAGCTGCCACCACAAATGCAGCGTTGTAAATTCTAAATGTTCTTATTTGTGCTTTTTTCTTGCAAGCAAGAGAGGATGTGCAGCATGGTACCATATAGAAATCTTGCCACAGAGCTTTGGTATAAAAACCTCTCAACACTGCTGCGACTTTTAATGGGTGAACAATTAGCTGCTTGCGATGTTAATAATTTTTATCTTGTTTCAGGCTAGTAGTTTTAACTGTTACACTTTGATTATGTTTCAGAACAGTCAAGCATCAAATATTGCAACTGACATCTGAATTAAAGAGCGTGCAAAAAATCTCTTCCCTCTCTAAGCATTGAAACAAATTAAAATGGAAAAGTGACTAAAGGAGGTGAGTCCTTTCTTCTTACTCTCTGATCGTTTTCCTTGATCTGCTTCTGCATCTCTTTTGTTTGTGTTTTCCCCAGGTTTGTATGTAAAAGGCAGGAAACTGATTCCAAGTTGTGAGCTGCTTTGGACATGAAGGCAAGCTGTTTTGGGCTTAGGAGATTATATATGCGATAGCCAGTCTTTGTTGTTATCTAGGCTTGCAGGCTGCACACAGTGTTAACATCAGCTGCCTGTGACTGTTGGTCTGCCTTTGTGAACTATTTTCATGAGTTTGACATGAACAGAAGAACGTTGCATATAAACTTAAATGTTGTGCAGAGCCCCATAGGGCTAGGTGTACTGCAGCTGTGGAGCCAGATTAGAGAGTATGAGAGACAGGACTGATTTGGCCTAGAGGAGTGTAAGGAAAGAGAAAGATCAGAGCCAAAAAGAAAGTACAGAAGACAGCATGGGGGAGCGGTTGCAGCATCTTGGAAGCAACACTGAAATGGCCTGGAGGAGCTCTCACAGTGAGGGAACTTCTTCCACAGTTCCACAGCTTTTTTTCAAGTAAATGCTGCAGGAAAACGGGACCATATCAACCTGGTAGATGCACTGTAGATAAGTAGACCTCTAGCAACTCTAGCCTGTCGGGCACAAATGGCATACTGGTGGGATGTATACACAGAGTAAAATAAAGGTATTTCACAAAATTAATTAAATGGAGGCAAAAGAAAGTTGAATGTTGTATACTCTGTTTCTGTATTATCACACAATAGTTTTAAGCATAAATGCACTAGAAAAAGGGAGAGTTTTTAATTTACATTTCTTCTTAAAGTGATAGTCATGCTGCTTATGATTTGATATGGCTTTAAAAGTAACTCTCAGAACTATGCTATATTCAGCTCTTTATAGTTCAGTAACAAGTTCATTTACTGACATTATTATAAATATTTATGGATATATCAAGATTAGTTAGGTATTATACTGTACTTCAAAAACTTGTAAATGTACCTGAGCAGACAGTAAGTTTGAGTTATTAAATACAATGTTTTACATCTCTGGAATATTCTTCGTATGATTCGAGTGTTATTTACTCATTGTTTTGTCTTTCCTAGAGAAATTTAATACATTTAATACATTTAATACATTCCTTACTTACTTAGAAAATGAATTTGTTAGAATACTAGTCTAGAATCCATGCTGAAAAGTTAATTTGATCACTCTAAAAAAAGGGTACAAACCAGCAGTAAAAATTACTTTATATTTTAATAAACTCATTATGCTGCTGCTGCAGCATATCCAAAGCTGTAAAACTATATTCACTGTCATTTACTATACATATGTGTGTATGCATGATTCTCTATGTACATAGCACATATGTATGTACCTATACATGGCAAGTATGACATGTATTGCATATATTTTGCATGTATATGTTAGAAAAAGTGTTGCATATCCTTTAGAGAATAGGACTTGGAACTAGCATGTATTTTCTGAGTATTCAGACTATTAGGTCAGCTCAGCTACCTTTCCCTCAGTTTAGCCATCTGTAAAACAAGTTTAAAACTTCCTTGAAAATGTGATCCTTAATGTTTTCACTACTGTGATTTTCCCAAGTAAAAGCTCCTTTTTTAACATAGACATGTATTTTTCCTAATGATACATCTGCTAACCGCCTACATGTTTCTGTATCAATTACAATTCTTTATGAAATGTAAGGATTCTATCCCATTGGTTGCCTGCGGTTCAGGTAAAAAACAACTATCTCCAGCATTGCCAGTGTTCAGTTTGTCAGGCTGTGCTTAAATTTGACTATTATGTGCATCTGGATTTGAGCATGTGCTGTACCCAAACTGAGGGCATCCTCTTACAGCCAAGAAACAACTAGTCACTGCCATTCTTTCAGGCGCTGGAATTAGCAGAGGGTTCTCCTCTGTCTTGCTGCTGACACCAGCTCAAGAACAAATCCTGAAATTTGGCAAGAAACTTAGGCCTAAAAACATAAGGGAAGGGAAGAGAAATTAAACACAAAACCACAAACCAGAGCTGTAGTGAAGCTAAGTGGGAAAGACTGTGAGGGAAGAGGAAAACAAAAGAATGGCAGAAAGGAGGGTAGGACAGAGGGTAAGGAATCAGAAAGAAGATTATACTGGGCCCAGAACAGACTGGAAGAGATAGGACTGGAAAACTTAGTCCTTGGGCTTGCGGTGGGGGAGCAGAATAGCCATTACAGTTTACTCCTTTTGGAGCCTGAGGAGTCTTGTGCTTTTCTCTTCTTTCCTGCCAATGAACAAGTGTGAAATCACTTCAGCAAAATAAATTCTCTCATCGCACAGACGTCTCGTCAGGGGAAGAGAGGTTTCAAGCCTTCTGCTG